GAGGTTCGTGTCGGGCCTCAACTTTGAAGCCCGAAAAGCACTAGTGGTAAGCAGACCCCGGACTCTCAACGAGGCTTACTCCAGTGCCGCTAATCTCTACCGAATCCAACTACTCCAACGCGGGGTTCAGGAACAAATACGAAAGAGGAACACCGGAGGAGGGGCGCCACCGGTAAAAAGAGCAAGAAACGACACCAACACAAGACCGAGTAACCTGGCCAACCAAAGGCCACCCCCGGGAAATAACGATCCTAGCGCCCGAAGCTTTCCGTGCCTGAGGTGCAACAAGAACCATAGAGGCAAGGATTGCAAGGGCAATCCCTTACGATGCTTCAACTGCGGAGAGGAAGGACACAAGGCCTTCCAGTGCACCCAACCCCAAAGACCACGCACCACCACCACGGGTCAACACGGGGGCACCGCTCATCACGGAAACTACAGCGCTCCCGGAAAAATATATGTCATGAGCCGCACCCAGGCCGAACTCGGGAACGAGGGCAACCACGAGGAAGGGAACCTAGCCCCAGAAGACGAGGACCATACCAATCCCGCGGAAGAAAATCAAGAGGACGAGTTCTGTCTAGGGTAGTTCGGCAATTTCCTTGTAATCACCTCCGTAGTAGAATTACTTACTTAGCTTAATTACTTCGAAAATATTATAAATAAAAGATTAGTTCAAAATTCGGTCCTACTTACAGGGGTAGAACTAAAACTGTACAAACTAGCCAAGCCCTCACCACTAGAAGACAAAAGAAGGAAAAAGACAAGGGCACCATCATCAAAAAGCCTAGTGTTACCAATAAAAATTGAACCCTTGACCTCCCACTTACAAGGCCAAGGTCTTGACCACTAGGCTAAGAGTGTTTCTTGAAATCCCAAGGGAACATTCCCTTGTTAAACCCCTACAAATCCCTAAAACCCACAAAACCCCCAAATCAAAAACCCTCCTTCTTCTTCCTCTCCCTCACTCCCCCCCTTCCCCCTTCCACAAACACCTCGCCGCCCCCTCTGCCCTCGCCGACGAAGACCGAAGCCACCACCACCAGCGACCGAGCTACACCGGCTGCCCAGGTCACCACCGCACGCCACCATTGCCACTGGAGAGAACCGCGACCCACCGACCGCCCGTCACCCACCTGGACACCGCCCGCTGCCGCATGCCACCCAGCGCCACCGCACGCCGTCACCCCTCTCCCACCGAGCCAACGACGGAGCTCAGCTCGCCGTCGCCGCCCTCGCAATCGAAAAAAAAAAAAAAAAAAAAAAAAAAACCGCCCGCCGGAAAAAGCCATCGGAAAAGTGCCACCTACCCCAAAATGCCAAAGAAACCCCTCGGAACCCGTACCCCGGAATGGAGCAACGCCGGCTACACCGTGATAGGAGGTAAGGCCCTTGAACCCGACCAATTCTCTCCGGGATTGGTCGATATGCTCAATTATCAAGGCCTTTTGGACACATACCTCACCGTCAAGGGGGACACGTACCCCGAATTGGTGAATGAGTTCTATCAATACCTAGTGGCCACCAAAAGGGGTGACAAGCTCGAAGTCACCACCAAGGTTCGGGGCAAAGAAATTATACTCTCCGAAGGCCGCTTGGCCAAGCTCTTAAAATTGACCACCACGGGTGTGTCAAACTACGACCGAAATGGGTGGATTGATACCCAAAACACGGGGTACAAGGACTATCTCGGGTACCTACTCGGGAAAGATGAAGGATTCACCTCGACCACGCGACCAAACCGGAAGTGGCTATCGGCGGAGCAAAAGATATTGGTTATGATTGTAACCGATAGCCTCTTGCCCACGAACAATAAGAGCAAAGACGTGGGGAGTTTAGAGTGCACCTTTGCCTACCTCTTGAAACACAAAATCAAATTCAACTTGCCGGCCCTCATGCTGAAACACATGGAGTTTTGCAAAATAAGCAACCGACTTAGCCTACCCTACGGGATGATCCTAAGTTGGATCATGGAGAAAAAGGGGGTGGATCTAAGCCACACCGAGGTCAAGACCGCAAATGGCATGGTCTTTAATGCCCAGAACCTCCGCCGCAACGATATTTACTACACTGAAGGGGGGCATTACCTCACCCTCGAGGAAATTTGCCTAAAACCTGAGGAAGAACGAAGGGAATAGGTCGACCAATTGGACATCTCCAACAAAAAGCTCAAACGAGCCATGCAAGATTGTGGGGTTCTGGAGGGAAATGAGGAACAGGAGGAGGCCGACGAGCCTAACCCATCGGTGTACCCACGATCGGGGAGGAACCCAAGGGAGCAAAACGAGGGCTCGATCAATGAGCGCATACTCACACAACTCAACCGACAAAACCAGATCATGGAGGAAGGGCTCTCGTCCTGGATCCGTACGACGCGCGCACTAGACCAGAGGGTGGCGGCAATTGAGGCCACCTTGGGCACTCGCGGGGCATCCAGTTCCGGAGCAGGAAATCGAGGTAGACCCAAAACTTTCCTATCACAACACCACCAAGAAGTCCAGTCTACCCCAGCTAAGGCAAAACGTGGGGCCACATTCCTAACCAGGAGGCCAAAATGCGGGATGTCAAGGGGGAAGGAATGGATTAACACACCGGGCTTCGGGGACGAAGCCCCTTGTAAGGGGGGGAGAGTGTAACACCCCGTGTTACGACCCCTAAGACAGATTAATCATTTAATCAATTGCCCAAGAGAAAGAATTAAATTACAATAATTAATTGGGAAAAAGACCCACCATAGTCCGTGGGCCCTCATCTCCAAACCCAACCCCTAGTCCTAGAAAGAATAGACCCTAAATAAGACCCCTAGATATATAAATAGGGAACCTAGAAGGCACCTAGAACCCCCACCACAATAATCTCTCACCACACCAAGAATTCCAAGAATTCCCCTAGGAGAAATCAAGAAAGAAGAAAGCTTAAAGAAAGACCCTTCATAGCCAAGGAATTAATTAAGGCTAAGAGGTAACCCATGTCTCAACAAAACCTATTTTCATAGCTATGATTCCCTCTTAGGATTTCCCCCATATTCTTGTGTGTTGATGATTCGTTATAATGATCTTGATAATTGGTGTTATGATTCCATGGGTAATCTTGATGATAAGCGGTTCTTGATGATTATATGGTGTTCTTGGTGTTCTTGATGATTATATGATGTCCTTGATGTTTATATGATATTCCTACCGAATCTTGATATTATAAGATGAATTGTGTTCTTGTTGATTTAAAAATAATTAGAACCCTAGGTTATATCGTGGAATTCGTATGGTATTATTCTTGGTAGATTGGGTGGGAATTTGTATGTTTGGGTGTTGATTATGTTTAGAAAAGCATGATAGGTTATGTGTCGTATGTTTCTTGATTTTGATCCGTTAATTGTCTATGTGTGTTATCAATTTCGTTTGAAAGTGTCTAAGCATGGTTCCGGGTTCCACGGTGGTTCCCGGGACGTTTATTTGTGAAGAAGAGCCAGTGGGGGGTAGGTGGGGGTAGGGGACCCGCCACCTACCCACGGCTAAAAGTGGCATCGCCGGCAGCGGGCAGCCGACGGGCGGGCAGCTGCCCGGAATAGTTGCCGCCGGCGGGTGAACCCTCACCCACCGGCTACCCGCTGGTTTGCACCCCAATTCGGGATTTTGGCCTCCCCGTTTGATGTTCCCCCGACCCCTGTGGTGTCCCAACGGACTCCGTCTATCGTGCCTATGTCTAGATTGATATTTCGGGTATCGTCCGTAGGTTGTATGAGTCTTATACATTGCATGCTAGTTGAATTGGTATCCCGTTGACCTTGATGAAAGAAGTATGAACCCCTTAGGATTATTCTTAGTATGTGAAGGATCACGCATAGGTTTTGTTATACGTTTCCCCCCCCCCCCCCCCTTCCCAATGTGCTAATGTGGGTTGCATGTGCTTGCTCTGTGTTATATGTGCATGTTACCCCGATTTGGTTGCGATCAATCGGGTTATACAGGCAGTCGGATGGGTTGAGAACCATACCGACTGTTAACCAGGCCGGTTGCGATCGGTCAGGTTTATAAACATTATATAGGGCTGCGGTCCACCGTTTGGTTGCGATCAAATGGATTATACGGGCAGTCGGATGGGTTGAGAACCATACTGACTGTTAACCAGGCCAGTTGCGATCGGTCAGGTATATAAATATTATATAGGGCTGCGATCCACCGTTCTACATGAGCTGCTGTTCATTTTCCTGGTTGCGGTCAGATGACATACTTTTGGGCTGCGGTCCACTATTTGGTTGCGATCAAACTATGATGAGCTGCGGTTCATCAGTCGGTTGCGATCGACCCCTCCGTATTGTGAGACGGGGCAGGGTGCTGTGGGGCCGTGTCAGAGCTATACGCGCTGACCCTCATGTATGGGCATGCGATTGGTCCTGTGGCGCCGACAAAGTGTGCTTATGTGATGAGATATGGATGAGTTGTGATTATGAGTATCTTGGGGATGTGACTACGGGATTTACGTTGGGGATTGTTTATGTTGGGTTATGATTATTGATTATGCTCAGCCTTATCTACCTTGCCTGTTGCAAACTATATATGCTTGCTATAACTGCCGTTTGTGTTTAGCTCTATGTGTCGAGTCTATCCCTGTTTTAAAAGCTAGAGTTCGTAGGATATATCTTCATGTTCAAAATGGTTTTCGTATATCTATATATATCTCTATATGTATTATATTTCAACGCGTTGGAGTGGGTTACCAGCATCTCTCGCTGAACAGATATATTTTGGCTTTCAGGCACGGACGAGTAGATCACTGGAGCGCGCTAGAGGTTGGGGCGTAGATTAGATAGTTCTTCCCTTTCGGCCTGCGTGCCATGATTTGTATTGATACTGATTGAGATTGTTAGAACTTAGCTTGTGCACCTGAGTTCTCTAGCTCAGGTGTGGCATAACACCCCGTGTCCTTATAAACGTATTTTGGGATTTATAATCATTTACCTTTATTATATTGTCTTTAAAAGTTTTAAAAATCCCGGGGTGTTACAGCTGTGGCAATAACTTTTCGCGGGCGTGGTAGGCATGCATCCCACACCGCTCCGTTTCTGGCTCTCCAAATGTAATATTGAATTGCAGCTGCGTGGATAATTTGGTTAGTGTCTAAAACATTCAATAGTTCACTAAACCAATCATAGAAAATATTTGTGATGTTGATGGGGATTGGAAGGTGAGATTGGCTCCAAATGGTCTTAGCATAGTCACACAATACTAGAGCATGCATTGTGTGTTCATTTGCCATTCCACACATAGCACATGTTGGTTATATATCCACTCTCTTTATAATTAGATTTGTCGTGGTGGGGAGAATATCATTCAATTCTCTCCAAAAGAAAGTTTTCCATTTGGGAGGTACTTTGAGCTTCCATAGGCCTAGCCAATTATCAAACCCGGTTGTAGTATGCCCATAATCTCCAATAATAGCTCTGTATCCATTCTTTACTGTATAGTTTCCTCCCTGGTCCCCATACCAATACCACATATCGTCATAGTCTGGTGATATTGGTATTTTCAAGATCCGGGGTATATCAATGGGGTCAAAAATATCTGTCAATATATTCGAATCCCAAGTCTGTGTCTCCGGGTCTATTAATCCCTCGACAGTCGCACCACTCAAGTGCACAAGCTTTTCTGTGTGAATCTTTGGCTCATGTTGGTCCTGCAACCATGGGTGGTCCCATAATAAAGTTGTATCCCCATTTCCAATTCTCCTCCTGATCCCCCTACATACCATATCATGGGCTGCCATAATACTGCGCTAGCAGAAACTTGGGTTACTCCCGACACATGCATCATAAAAAGTCCCTTTAGGATAATATCTGGCTTTATAAACTTTTGAAACCAGAGATTCAGGCTTAGTGAGTAACTGCCATGCTTGTTTACCCAACATTGCCAGGTTGAACGCATGTAGCTCCTTGAATCCCAAACCCCCATACTTCTTTGGTATACACATCTTATCCCAGGCTTTCTAATGGATGCCACGGTCATTCCCAGACCCCCCCAGTAACGATTCATGGTTCGCTCAATGGCTGTACATATCCCTATTGGCAGTAAGAACACGCTCATCAAAAAAGTAGGCATAGCTTGAGCCACACTCTTTAATAAAACTTCCTTACCAGCCTGTGATAATAGTTTCTTATTCCAGGATACAACTCTTTGCCTGATCTTGTCCTCAATATACGAGAAAGCTGCCTTTTTATTTCTCCCTATAAAAGAGGGTAGCCCCAAATACTTCCCATAGTTGGGAGCTTGGTTCACACCTAAGATATGTGCCACATCATTCCTGTCATCATCCTTCGTATTCTTACTGTAACAGATGCTTGATTTATGATAATTGACTACTTGGCCAGATAATCTTTCATATCGTGTTAAACACTGTTTAATCACCTCAGCTTCCTGTATTTTTGCCTTAAAAAACAACAAGCTATCATCAGCAAAAAACAAATGGGATATAGGTGGTGCACCTCTCGCAACTCTACAGCCATGAATTTTTCCTTGGGTCTGCGCCTGTTGTAGTAGTAGTGATAGACCTTCTGCACAGATAATAAAGAGGTACGGGGATAAAGGATCACCCTATCTAAGTCCACGGGTTGGAGTAATAGGCAAACTACGAGAGCCATTCAGTAAAATATTATAAGACACAGTGGTCACACATAACATAATTAGCTCCACCCACCTACCATCAAATCCCAACGCCATCAACATATTACGTAGGAACGACCATTCCATACGATCATATGCCTTTGCCATATCTAATTTTAACGCACCCCATCCCGTCATACCACACTGCTTTCTGTTCAAAAAGTGACCAACTTCCGCAGCAACCAGAATATTATCCGTTATCAGCCTGTCAGGTATAAATGCACTTTGCGTATCAGAAACAATTTCATTCATAAGGGGTTTCATCCTGGCCGAGATCATCTTTGCCATGACTCTATAGATCACATTACTCAGCACTATTGGCCGGAGATCCGAGACTAACTCCGGAATCTTTTTCTTGGGGATCAAAACTATATCAGTATCATTCAAATTAGCTGGAAAAGAACGAGTATTCAGACAATTCACAATAAAGTCTGACACATCCTCACCCACCACATCCCAATAATTCTGATAAAAGCCCGAATTCATTCCATCCGGACCTGGTGCCTTATCAGGAAACATAGCTGTCAACGCAGCCTTGACCTCCGTTCTGTCAAACGGCCGTAACAGGTCATCATTCTGTGCTTGTGACACCCGGGGTAAAATACTTGCATAAAATTCCGTATCAGTCTCAGTCTGACCCGTAGCAAATATACGCCTGTAATAATCAACTATAACAGTCCCCATAGCCTCTCCGTCCACCCAATTCCCATCATCATTCATAATTTTAACAAGTGTATTCTTCTTTTTACGGTGAGAAGCATACCTGTGATAAAATTTCGTATTTGCATCCGCTCCCTTCAGCCAGTGCTGTTTTGCCCTTTGCTTCCAATACGCATCTTCCTGTATTTCAATCTGAGCCAGACATCCCTCCAATCGCTGGTATTCTGCTAATGATGCCTGATCCATACACCCCCGTAAACGCAATTGCTGTTTACGAAGATTCATTGCCTGTTCACCAAACTTATGAAATCTATCTCCTCCCCATCGTGATAATCTGTCTCCACAGAGTTGAATACAACCTTGTAGCCCCTTATTCCTCCCTTCTACCCAGGCCTTCTCCACAACTCCCCTACAACCCTCCTCATGTAGCCAAGCCATCTCAAAACGGAACCTTCGTCTCATTCCATTCCGTCTTTCCCGAAGATTCAGAATCCCAAGGAAAAGAGCAGAATGGTCTGATTGTCGGGTCAGAATGTTTAAGACACTGGCATCCCTAACCACGTCCTGCCATTCCTGTGTTACTAGCACCTTATCCAGCCTCTCTTCAATCCAGTCCACAGTCCCTTCACCCCTCTCCCATGTATACGGGTATCCCTGCATTGGCAACTGGGCCAAACCACACTCGTCTATGGTTTCTCCAAAGCCTCGCAAAAGCGCCTCTGGATGCGGATTCCCTCCTCGTTTTTCATGCTGATACAGTAAATCATTGAAATCGCCTATCATGACCCATGGTAGCTGAGATCGATGTGATAATGATCTAATAAGCTCCCATAACTCATTCCGCCTCCATCGTTGTGCAAAACCATAGAACCCCGTCATTCTCCACTTATTAAATCCTGGTATACTCACCTCTATATCCACATGGTTCTTTGAGTAACTCAACAAACTAGCCGTATTGTTTCTTCTCCACAGTAGCGCCATACCACCTCTCACTCTTACATTGTCAACATAAAAAAGGCCATCCAACTCAATCTTCACCTGGAGTCTCTCTGCATGATCCCGGGCTACCATAGTCTCCATTAAAAATACAAATCGGGTTTCTTACGGGACACCATGTCCACAATTTCCTGAACTGTCTGTGGATTACCCAAGCCACGACAGTTCCAGCTCAAAGTACTCATTGGTTCGGGCGGGACTGGGCACCAGTTCCCGCCATATGCAAGTTTTTTGAACCACTATCCACATCCGTTTCTCCACCATCCTGGCCCACCACCGCACGGCGGCGTTTCGAGGAGGCCACCACACCCTGCGCTACATCATCATCCGAAGCCGCCATCCGTATATCACTCTGGCTATCATCGGAGGAGGCTGTTCCCTCCACTCTCTGGCGATAGCCATTAGCCGAACCCGCCCCCTCTACCGGTTGTAAAAGCCATGCCGCACCAACCTGCCTGGGACCTTTATTCTGCCCCGCTCTCATCCAAGGTCCATATGGATAGAACTCCGGAGTGAGACCGGACACTCGTGCTTTCAAACAAAACTTCTCCAGGTGGCCAAACATCCCACAATAGAAACAAAAATTATGTAAACGCTCATATTTCAGATTAACCCATCCCCATGTTCTGTCCCTACGAATCAACTTCATACGCCGTTTCAAAGGTTTGTCCACCGGTACCGCCACTCGGACCCGATAAAAAATCTTTACCAGTCCACCAACCTGTCGGTTATCACACCGGATGAACTTCCCAACATAATTCCCAACCTGCTCCAGAATCTTATTATCAGTATATCCAACCGGTAGATCGTAAACCTGCACCCACATATCTACAGTATCCAATTTTACCTCCCCCAGAAGCATTCCATCCGGAACCTGTCTGCATACAAGAGTATGATTCTCGAAAGACCAGGGCCCCTCCTCAAGCACCCGTACCATGCCCGTTTCATGATAAAAGGCAAAGAGAAACAAATTCGCATGCATCTCCGTAACCCTCATTCCCATGACCGGCATCCAAACGGACGCAAGCACCTGCCGCATATACTCGACCTTAATAAGTTTGGCTGTCAAGAACCTGCCCACAACAGAGTAAACCACCGCTGGATCGCCAATCACCGGCTGCCCTACCCCTTCGGCCATCACCCCTTCTTCTTCATCTTCTAGAACCAAATCGGCCCACCACTCTGCCATTCTCGCCACACCACCGTCATGCTGCTGTCGTGTGGGAGCTGCCATGCCGTCGTACGCTGGCGTCCTCCCTGCCAGAGACTCGCCGAGATCGTGTTGAGTGCGCTCGGAAAACGTAAAAGAAAACCCTAATTGGGAGAGATGGAGAGAAAACCCTAATTGGGAGAGAGATTGTTATCCTGACTAAATTAAAGAATTACAGTTTCGATAAACTAAAATGTGAAGGATTATATACTCATATAAAAGGAGATTAATGCAAGATCAGAATTACCTTTCTTTAAGATTCTTAGGACTTCAAGGACATCTTCAGTAACAAATTTCTTCTTAAATGCTTGTAATACATTAGCCTTAGTGTCTCTATAAATAAGATTGTTATTATTAATTACAAAGAAAAAGGTGAGCAGTATAACATAGATAAAAAATAATATACAAATCATTCTAGACTCAGTTTCAACACTCAAAAGGGAAGTTTACACTCTCAAAAGTCAATTTTTTTTTTTGATTAAATTGTTCTGCCTAGAAAAAATAGTTAGAATTAACAAAATCAACAAGACATGAAAATCATAGCATTTATTAATGCACCTTCACACTGTCAATCCAAGATATACAAGAAACAAAATATAAGGAACATTACAAATTTAAACAATTGAACACTTTGTTAAACATTTATTAATGCACCTTCACACTGTCAATCCAATCCATGCATAAATTCTCTGGCTCTTAGTAAGACACAAAAACATCCTATATTCTGCTTCTAACCACATGTTATATTCACCAAAGTTCTGCATGGAAAAATAAAGTTAAAAATCATTAACATAAAAATATAAAATAACATTAACATCCAAAACCAAAAACCTCATCAAGAAAATTTCTGTCAGTTTTAACCGTTTTAATGGTTCTTTTAAATTTGGATGCAACTTAAGCTCCATGTCTTTTAACTCATCCATTCTTCTTCCTTGGGAATCCAGTGGTTCAGTTAATGTTGCATTGAATCCCTATAATAGACAAGAATGTCATCAGAGAATTATGCAAGAACTCTTCCATTAAGTTATTTATCTCTCATACTTGAGTAATGTTCCATGGATTTATTTACCAGAATTGCTCTAGCACCAAGTGACTGTGCTGCACCAGCAAATTGTGAAGCATAGATATGATTAATTCACAAGGCTTAATATATTGTTGAGTCTATTCGTAAGCCTCTTCAAATGTCGAATAACAAATTCGTAAATATTTAAGGATTTATAATCACCTTCCTTTGCTATAGGAATCTGTTTTTACATGATATACACAGGGGAAATGTGGAAATTTATTATGCAACATTTAATACTGAGATCATGCAATCAAGAAACTAAAGGAAATATAAAAATTAAATTTTAAACATCTTATAGAAAGGAAAAAATGATACCTACCTCACTTAGAATGAGAACCCCCTTCTTTGAAGCTTGGTAGGCGACAAGAAGGCGCGGTTGGGGTTCTGGACGAAGACATAATAGGAGTGTTGGAAAAAGTGCTTGTATTCTGTAATACATTTGAAATACAACAAAAATACAGAAGACAACAGGGAACAAATCTGGATCATTTGATATATTCAGGCGTGTAATCACTTTCCTATCAGCTTTAAATCTCCCTCTATAAAAGCAACAAGGTTCAAGATTTAATCTTATGGGATACAAGAAAATAATGAAATTCTCAAGTTGCTTTGTTTGAGAATTTCCTGTAGAACTGTAGGACTGTGAAGTATCTTGGTTTCCTTCAAATTGATTGCCTGTAAATTGCCTGTGTTAACTTTTCTCTGTATTCTTCAGATGTCTCTCAAAATATTTATATAAAATATTTTGATGATTAGGAGATGTTACATGGAAGTTACTGGTAGTTTAATACTCCAACTTCTACAAGGTATATCTTTAATGAAATATCACTTGAACCATGTACAACATGTACATTATATTTCGTAATATATGAACATTGATAGGTTTATACACTGCATGCAAAATCATTAAGTAATATATATATATATATATATATATATATATATATGTTTACAGTACACGCATGTAGCCAATGAATTCACACTTTCGTGTTAAGCACCCAAAACAATTCACATGAATTGTTAAGCACTCAAAACAATTCACACGAATTGTTTAATCACCGAAACCATTCACACGAATTATACTCACACGAATCATGCACCGAAACAATTCAACGATTTGTTAAACACAATTCATACAAAATCTACCAGATCATTAAACAACGATTCGTTAAGCACGATTTGTATAAAATCTATCAAATCATTTAAGCAACGATTTAATACAACCAATCGTTTTGATTAAAAAACAATGATTCGTTAAAATCGACGATTCGTTAACACCAACAAATTTGTAAAACCAACGAATCATGCAAATCAAACTGAGTACTATTCGGTTCCAACCGTACGAAATATTCATATTTCTCAATTTACTTTCTACCAAACTAAAATAATATTTATAACTCCACAACTCCAAATATTATTTAAGCTTTCATGGTAGTCCATCTGAAACATTAATCTCCATTACTATATAAATTTCCAACAAGGAGAAAGTGAACTTGGCGGTGGAGAAGGTGGGGGGGAGCTGGATGGCGTTGATTGATGAACAATGTTTTTCACATTTAAACCAGAGAGATTTACAGAGTTATTTATACACAGAGACTTAACAAAGATATAGCTAACAACCACTGAATAAACTCTAACAAGGCCTAAATATCTAACGGTCTAACACTCCCCCTCAAGCTGACGGGGGACAGGGGACCACGCCCAGCTTGGAACGTAAGTCACTTAGTCGAGTCGAGGAAAGCGGCTTGGTGAAGACGTCTGCAAGCTGATCTTGTGTCGAGACGAAGTTGACTTTCAACCCTCCGGAGGCGACCTTGTCCCTGACAAAATGGTAGTCCAGCTCGACATGTTTGGTCCGTGCATGAAACACGGGGTTAGCACATAAGTACGTGGCCCCTAAGTTGTCACACCACAGCACGGGAACCGTAGACGGGCGCAAACCAAACTCCTGTAAGAGAGATTCGATCCAAGTTACCTCAGCTGACGCATCTGCAAGCACCTTGTACTCGGCTTCAGTCGAAGAACGGTTGACCGTGCGTTGCTTCCTCGAGACCTAGGAAACAAGGTTGGGCCCGAGAAATACCGCATAGCCAGCGGTGGACTTGCGATCCACGGAGCACCCGGCCTAATCTGAGTCAGAGAAGGCATGTATAACTGGAGTCGTGGACGGAATAAGACGCAGACAAGATGTCGCGTCCCTTGAACGTAGCGAAGGACGCGCTTGAGTGCCGCCCAGTTATCTTCTGTCGGGTTGTGCATGAATTGGCACAGACGATTAACTGAGAAGGACAGGTCCGGCCGTGTGATCAGAAGATACATCAATGAACCAACTAGGCTCCTGTAAGGCGTCGGTTCGTCTAGTAGTGGGGAATCCGTGGTAGTTGGCACGACTGGCGACATGGGAGTGGCCAGTTGTTTGCAAGTTTCCATGCCGGCTTTGAGGAGTAACTCTGTCATGTAGCGCTGTTGTGACAGGATCAAGGCATCACCATTATATGTAGCCTCAATCCCTAAAAAGAACCGCGGCACCCCGAGGTCTCGAATCCGAAAAGACTCAACTAGCTGACTCATCACGGTGGTAACCATGTTGGGATTGTTGCCCAGGAGTAATATGTCGTAGACGTATACCAGTATATATGCCCGGTCTTGGCCTGAGTAAAAAATGAACAAAGATATATCTGTTTTGGATGGTCGGAAGCCAATCTGTAGCGAAAAGTTGTGTAATCTCTTAAACCACGCACGGGGGGCCTGTTTAAGCTCGTACAACGAGCGTTGCAATTTACACACGTCATTAGGGAA